CAAAATTTTTTTCATGCAATTCGATGTGAATCATCAGCCTGTTGTAGTTCACTGCTGGATATAGGACTTTCCCAATGTGCGCGATTTTGCCTGAAAGGACCACGTTTGTCGCATCCGTTGGTTAGCGTACACTATAGGTATGCAAGTCACATTCTTTGCTAATTCTTGTTTAAATCAAATTTATCGGTCCATTGCTTTAGCTGACCACCGTATAGTTTCAATTTGACATTAATTTGTTCAATCTATTACAGAATAATTTCGATTAATTTAGTTTGTTTTTGCCATGGAATTGCGTGTTGCATGTAATTGAACTTAATGCTTGAAATCAGTGAGTGAGATGAAAAAGTGGGCACGCTCTTACGCGATAGTTTGCGTTTTCGTTTATGAAATATATTTGAATGGTCAAAATCGAATACCGAATAAATGGTACGAGAGAAAGTTGTCATATTGCAATATAAGTAACATCCTTTGTACAGCTATCTTGTGAGAGTGGTATAGCCCAAGACTTGTTTTTGAAAATGGATTCTCCGACAGTCATGCCTGACGGAGAATCAGGAGGATAATGAGGTGAGGAGGATAGTGAGTTAAGAACGTGGTGAAATGAGAATATGGTGATTTGAGGACATAGTGAGATGTGAATGTGGTGAGTTGAGGACGTGTTGTGGTGACATGAGAATTTGGTAACCTGCTCACAAAGGGTCTCAATAACATCGTTTCAAACAATAAATATTTAATAATAAAGGTGATCTAGAAGTGGTTTCCGTTAACCTTATCGCGTTCAGATTCATTATGTAACCCTCAATATGTTACCAGTTCTTGTAGCAAATATTTACACTTGATCTGTGTACAAGTACGTATTATACGTATGTATAGACGTAATCTAACACATGTATTTGATTAACACATGCGTCGGAGCCGATTTAACGAACCGCCGCCGCCTGGATTAACCTTGAATTAAATAGTTCGTTGTAGAATAATGAAGTTTTTAAGCTCGTTGAAGTGTGAATTAATAATAATTATACACTGTCATTGTTTTATTCTTTGTAGTCATCTTGGGAGCATCTATACTTAGTTTTTTTAGGATTAGATAGAAAGCAATTTTGGGTCTATCATTTTGTAAGTAAAGTATGTTAATAAACACCGTGAATCAAAATTCTCAAACACATTTTACTACCTTTATAATAATAATAATAATAACGCACACACTCATACCATTGCACTAGGGAAAACCCGCACGCGCAGGTGCCATGGACACACACATAGACAACACAAATGACACCCAAACCCACGAGATATAAATGTAGCCTATACAAATATTACTCTATTGCAATAATGAATTATGTGATTATTACTTTTTTAAATTATAAATAAAATGAAAAATTTATTCTATCTTTACATAGTTAATCTATTTCAAAGACTTACACTGTAAAACACTTAAAAAAACAGAGCTTTCAATTATTTATTTTTTTATAAAATAATAACATAATATTATCGGGTCAATTATCAATAAATTCTGATGATGTATTCCTTTCTACTGCAATTTGTTCGTATGTACGATCACTGATTCTTTGTTTACATTTTTTTTAAAAAAAAAACGAAGTATAAGTGTTGGGTTATGTCCGAAAATTTTCAAAATTTTAGAAAAATATATTAATAGAAGGTGAAAATTAACATTACCTAATTGATGACATCCTAAAGAAAGATATCCCGAGGTCAAGAGTAGCATGTGAAAACAATGTACGTTTTGATGAGGCGTAAGATGTGTGTCCAATATAGTAAGTAGCAAGTGGCAGGCTGTCATACCGTGCTGTATTATGAAATGTCCAAAAGTCCATATCAGAACCTGTTTTTGAACATTTAATCCATAGGTAAAATAAATTTACACTTGAAAACGTCACATTTAAGCTACTGCTCTATCACTACGTTGACTACCCTGAGAAGAACGAGCAAGAAACTCTAGGGACTGATCTTTTCAAATAAACTTAAATGCTATCGAATACACTTTGAATCAAATTTGTGTAGATTCTAGAGCCATGTCGTCTTTTCATACATCTTTATCTAGCACGTGCTGTTAAATTTTGTAATATCACTTTTCAATCGAAATATTTTTAATACGTTCTTAAACTTAGGAAATGATAATCTTAATATATGCTCCGGAATCTTATTGTAAAAACGTATACAGTTCCCCATAAAAGAGTCGTTTACCTTGGTTAAACGAAAACGTGGTACCATGAGTTTGGATTTAGCTCTAGGGGTAATATTATGGATACGTTCTTTCTTATTGAAATTATGTATATTTTTACGGGCATATAAAATATTTGATTAAATGTACTGGGACGCCACAGGGATGATTCCAATCTCCTTAAACTTTTCTCTGAGAGAAACAGGCTGTGTGCGGTTGACTGTCAGACGGACTGACTGACGCCTACTAACAAACTGTAAGTTCGTGTTCTTTTGTTTCGTTAATTATATCATTTCTTGTATACAACTTATCCAAGCTGATCTAATCTGGACCCTTTTGACTAATGATAGAGTGGCTTTAGAAACTACTGTAAATAAAATATATAATTAGACACCTAGACGAGCAAGAAACTCCAAGAAACAGGTAGTTGCGTCTTGTGTCAATAATATGTAATGGTGAGAAGGTTGGGATTGTTGTGTTAGTGAAAATTCAATAAGTTCGACACTAACAAAACGTTTATTATGACTTTATAAAAGTCATTACATAGATCACTAGAAATAAATCTTGCAAATGTCACGTTTAGTTGAGATTGCATCAAAAATGGATATCGTTGGCTACACTCGTAAACATCGTACCTCCATTAATGTGAAATTTTGTAGAGGCACACAAAACCCAATTACTATGAGAATTAATTTTAAATGACAATCTGTGATTATAACCTTTATTTTATAACTAACAAAGGGTCTCCAAATATATTTTAAAAGATTTAATTGCCCGATATTGCGCTAGAAGAATCGAATTGAATTTAGCTGACGACATTTTAGCAGCAGTAGAGCTCATTGTGAAAGAGTTCATCCAGGGTAGTACTGCCACCTTACCTATTTTTGCCGATAAGCAGTACTGTCAGCATTACTGTGTTTTGGTTTTGAAGGGTAAGGGGTGCGGGTGAAATTACAGGCACAAGGGATTTCTCATGTCGTGACGGGCGCAGTGGCAGTGCCCCTCAGATCTTTGCAATTTAAAGCTCTGAGTGGCACTGCAACTGTTATGGACAGACGTTTAGCTTACCATCAGGCGCACGACTTGTTCGTCCCGTCACTTGACATAAAAAAAATCAAGGCTTCAATGTTCTTTATATTGAAATTTGAAGTATATATGTATGTATAATAAATATACGGGCAAAATTTATAAATATATAATAAATATATAAAATTTATAGTTTATAAGCGCAAAAAGGGAGTCACTTATCGACTTAAACCGATCAGAAAAACATTTATGCCCATGCCATGCAATAGGAGCGTAAAATTCTTTGTGCCGTTACGCCTGGCTGTGGCAAGTTGTGTGTCGTCTGCCTTCGGTAAAGGCTTTTTCGTTCTTATTGCATGGACACAAATGTTTTCCAAACCGGTTCAAGCCGATTCCAAGTCAATAAATGTGGTGACTTCCGAAGTCGTAGAAGATCGATGCGATCTTTAAAGTACCAACAGCAAACACGTACATTTTTTTTTATAATATCAAGTGACGGGACGAACAAGTCGTTTGCCTGAGTAAACTATATGCCTGCCCATAACAGTTGCAGTGCTACTCATCCTGAGATATAAGTTGAAGTTCAAAACCGGAAAACAGTAATGCTGACATTACTGCTTCGCGGTAGAAATAGGTAAGGTGTCTGTACTAATCTGGGCGAACTCATTCACAAGGACTGCTACTAAAAAAATTTAGTAAATGTAAAAGTTAAAATGTATGAATTTCGGTTCGCTCCGATATGGATCCAATTTTAATGCGGTTTTGTTTTGTACGCTACAATATTATAACATATACCTATGAACACAAGTGCTGCGTCAATTTTATTATAATACGATTTAAATTCAACTCTACTCTTACGATAACAATACTAAAATGACTTAGCTTGATGTGCTCTTGACTGTATCTCATAAAAGCGTTTCTTACGTTAAAAAATCAAGTAATTGTTCTTAATAATACTCTTTGAAGTGTATGAAAGAAAGCAATACAAAAAGATCGTATAGGCAGAAGTAGGCAGACTGGGCTTGTGTGGAGATTTCATCTCAAAATCCCGGAAGCTATTGCGCATGTCACGTTCGCGCTTTACCCATACTATAGGTGCCCATAGCACTGTTACTACTCACTTATAGGTATGTATACATTCTGAGGTCACTGCACTCTGAAGGTAAAAAGGGACAGAGATCTTTGACCTAGAAAATAGAAAATTGCGAGATGTCCTTTTTTTGCGGTTGCTACCCCCAATTTTGCAGTTACGACATTTTGCATCGATTAGTTTTGAACAGTTTCGAAATTCGATTTCGAATTTTGTTGTCAATACCTACTCAAGAATGATCACAATATTTGTACCTTCTTAATGATTGTCTATTTATAACGATGTATTTATAAAATAAGTCTACACATAAGTGTCTACACACTATAAAGTGCTTATAGGCAGGACCAACAATCATTGATTATGTTGCTCAATATACAAACAAATAAGTACGAAGTATAATAAAAATAGTTTTTATTGCAGATATCAATTGTAATTTGATTGTGAATTGGAATTGTCAGAGAGTATTCTATTTTAATATTTCGCGAGCACCGGCAACCTAAATCTTTTTCATTTGGGTCACTTCGGTCTTCACACAGCGGTCTTGGCAAAGGATGCGGTCAAAAATTAAACAAAATGCAACCGTTTTAAAAGGTCGAACAATATGCAACAGGCACGACTAAGACCCCTAGGCTTTCAATTTAGTTTTTATCGCGAATTGGGGTTCGACAAACAGGTGCGTAACTTAAAACAATAAAAACTTACCTGCAGGTGTATTGGCACTTTTTTTACTGGTGCGCTGGACATTTTCACACACTCAAACACTGATATCACCTCACAAAGTCGTATTTATAACACCGCGTGTAGGCGGCCGGGTTTATTTAACGTGAAACGTAAGCTCTAACACTACAACGCTGCTATCGACAAACGCCTACTGATTATTTTTTCTTTCATTGAGTTTACTACGATCCCCTCCGAAGCGCATGCGTAAAAATCGCCCTTGTTCTGATTGGGTAATGAAAAAAAGAAAAAGTAGTCAGCTCATTCACCAAGCGTCTTAAAACTTCTGAATAATCGCAGCAGATAGCAGCACTAGTGTTAAAGTAAGTTTAGTTACCTATTAAAGTGTTTTGAATAATTGAAACACTGTAGCACTATAGCTATAATAAATTAATTATTGATGTAATTAAAATCAGCAACATATTAGTAAATCTATGCTAAATAACGTTTCTTAATAATAGAATACTTAAGAAGGATTTCTTTTGATCTTAGGTGATTCTTACCAGGATTGTTAATGATTCTACAGTCATACGCTAGATGGCGCTTTTATGAATTATGTGGAATTCGATCATTAGGGGAAGAAAACGCAACTAACACTCAAAACAAATTCAATCGAACGAACCATGCGTCGGGCGCTGCCGATTTTTCGCGCCTGTTTATTATACAGGATTGTTGAGAAATTCCAATAGATTTTCGATTTATTTAAATGTGAATTGCAGTGTTAGTACAGCGGGTTATACTTGCATCCATGCCCACGCTACATCTGAAACCTGGAATAACGGTGAGAATGAAAATATTTTTCTATGCCGACTTTAATTATGAACATCTATTAGCTTTGTAATAAAAATGATGACAACTCTTGTAGACAATTGTACTGCGAGAGAAGATTTTCGCTTGTTTCCCTTCGGTTTAATTAAGCTAACTATTGGAAAAAACTGTCTCGTGGCTAGTTATAAAACCCTGCCAAATCAAGACGTGCTCTATTAATATACAAGACATAGAGCAGTATCAATTTTTAAATTTGGCTTATTTAGGTTTATTTGGAACATAAATTACAAAGTTTTTCTGTCCTTTTATTTTTCAGATGATTATTGGATCTGTATGTATCTACTTAGTTAAATAAGTACCCGTGTAAATAAATGCTTCATTCATTCTATGCACTTTTTTGATTCAGAGCTTTTTTATTTCATAAATTCGTTGAGACCTTTGTAACCGGCTTGCTACGTGTGATAGGCCAACTGATGGACAGGCAAAGTCGATGGATTTGTGTTCTTTTGTTTATCTAGACTTGTTGACAAAATCTTGATCACACTAGTCTAATACAGATAGCCTCGACCTGGGCTATTTTCTTTCAAAATGGTCACGTAATTTTTGCTCTGACGTTTTATGTTAAACAATCCTATTTTTAACTTTAACCTCTCTGATAACAAACTTATCTGTTATTTGCAGAAATCGGGGTAGGTATCTATCCCAATCTCCTATAATATAATGTACACATCACTATATCTTTCTAGATAAGAATATTTACACATTTTTGGTACCTACGTAGATCTATGACGGTGGAGGTTACTCAAGCATGAATTCCCAAGAAAACCAAATTTAACAAAACAAAATATAGGCTCAGATTATAAAAGAAATGTGTAAGTAGAATATCTTAATAGTTTATCTGATCTTAAGTCGAATTTTTGCCCGACATGTTATAATATCTGCCGTCCACTAAGCAAAACGCGGCTGAGTGATAAACGGCCAATTATCCGTTTTAAATAGCAAAAGGTAGAGCACAAATTTCTCTTTTAAAAACAGTTAAAATTAGTTAATGTGTTCGACTTATCGGAACTTACCCGAACGAAATATCATTAAACAATTTCAATATTCTAAAACTGGGTTATGGTTTTTATGATATCTCAAAAAATGATTTTGCACTTAGTCGCGTTTTAGATAAGGTGTAAGGGGTGTAAGGGAGCCCAAATACTATCTTTCGGGCACCAAGCCAGTCCCGCCTGCACGTGGTGTGCAACCTGCCCGATAGCGAAAGGGACTCTGGCCAAATATTAAACCGACTTTTCCCAAGGAGGATTCACGTCAGGCAGGCGGCCGGTCATAAAACACCATACCAAATCCCTTTACGACATGTATTCAAGAGTGAAGGATAATAGTGACCGTGATAGGGCTTACCCCACAGGCGACGAAGAAAAGATAGACGGATTGTGTGAAAGATGACATGGATAAGAATGGTGTGAGTATAAAAATGACGGCTGATAGGGGATAATGGAAGAAAAATACATGTTGTGCCGACCCCACCTAGCGTGGGATAAGGACAGGAAGAAGAGTCGCTTTTTGTTAGCGGACGGCAGATATTCCGTTCGAATTAATTATACTGTGAAATAAGTAAATACTTGATCTAATCAAAAGACAATGTCACATGTTAAGCTTAATTCGTATCATACGTTTCGAGTCGGTCGACTATTACTTCTCTCTCTTCTTCTATGACAGTAAATATTTCCGACGGATGTCACACAGAGAACGTGTCACACGGAGTAGACGGGCGTCTACTCCCGTTGTCTTGTCTCTGTGTGACGTCCGGACAGGGCTGTTCGTGGCAAAGAGTACCTACGTTATCCGTCCGTGGTACCTTAAGCCTTAATCACGAGATTCCGACCACGGACTAGTTCAAAACATGCACAGAAGCAAAAATTCGACTTTAATACGAGTTACGCGTTATACGTCTGAGTCTCACGGTGGTTTGCTATTGGCAACAAGTACTTGAAATGAGTATAATCAATTATTAACATTTCCTTTTATATTTAACAACTTGTAATGAATCGCAAACGGAATATTCTAAATTTAAATTCAAATGAAAACGATCTCATATCCAATGAATACGATTTATATTCGTTGTAAATTCATTTCACATCCTATCAAAATAGGGAACTAACGCATTTTTTTGTATTGGCTTGTGTGTCCAATTAAAGGACGCCATTTTTACAAAAAAATTTATGTTCGTGAACTAATTTATCAACAGAAACCGTTTAATACGATTATGATTAAGATGATGTTTTAGATGGAATAAAACACAACTACGTATAAGATTTTTAACGTCATTGACAACGCATGTGACTGTTTGTATACTGATAAAAAATAGAGTTCCAATTAAGCTAGACAATAAATATGGAATGATAAGCCTCCTACCGTAAGAGAGGGAGGAGAGGTTTCAATCGTTGTGGATATTCATCCGAAAACGTTCACAGTGGCTGTTTGAAAACCATCCAGGTTACATTTAGGGACTAACCACAGAAAAGGCTTTATATCCATGCAGTATTCCGCTCGAACTACACCGATGCAAAACGCCACACATCTGTTAAGTGCCAAAAAATATTACTTGGACATTTATTAAAACTTTTTCAGACCGGTTTAATGCAATTTCATGTCAGGAAAGGTGCCTTCTTTAGCTGGTACTTTGTGTTTTAGATTTTATATTAACCGACTTCAAAAAAAGGAGGAGGTTCTCAATACGACTGTATGTTTTTTTGTATGTATGTTACGCGATAACTCCGGTATTTGTGAACCGATTTTCATGATTCTTTTTGTTGGAAAGAGGGTACCTCCATAGTTGTCCTATTTAATTTTGAAGTAAATCGTCCACCTATAGAGGTGGTTGTTCACGCATGAAGATTCATTTTTATAAATAGCGCGTAAATTTTATTATAAGGAGAAATTATTTTAATGCTTGATTGTGCTATTCTCCAATTCAAGGCGTTTTTCTCTCAATATGCTTTGAGTAATGAGAACCGATTTTTATTATCTCATGTATCAAGTCCCGTATAATGGCGAACTAGGGGATGAATCCTGGTTTAAGCACTTTCCGGTAACCGATTTCAATAAAACTTGGTAATATGTTGTGTATTTTATAATTAATATTATATGTAATTCCACGTACTTTGTGGTCGGTTTTTTAGTACTCTGTTCTGAGATTATTTATATTCGTTTTGTTAGGGCATATATTTGTTAAATTCGATGTCTTCTACAGCAATCCCTTATTGCTGTAATAAATGAGGAAAATCTGTATAAAAAGTGGTCTTCTCGAGAAACTTACATAAAATTTTTGTCAAGGGCGCTCATAACCCCGGGCAGCGTAGCAACACAAGCCTAAGTCAATAAAGAAATGTTTTCAAAAGACAAAAGTGGAGCTCCTTTCAGAACTTGATGGGATAAAGCTCTTCAAAAACCCGGGCCTGCCTACTTATATCTGGAATTATGAATGTTTTTCATCTGTTCATAACTGTATGCACCTATCTATTTAAACCTTGACTACCTCGATCGTCATACGGTTTGCAATGGATGTTCAACCAGTTTGGGAAATGAACTTTTCTAAGTTGGTTACAATCTTGGTAGTACCCCGTATCGAGTTCCGTTGGTCTGGTATACACCAAATTCTCTGGTTTTATACCAGGTTATTGGTATTTGACATGTATTTGAACATTGTATGACCTGTGAAACGCTTCGATGTGTTTTTCTGCCGAGACTTTCATAACGCAACGACCTCTGACAAAATAAACGATTCGACGATCGACACTCGATACTAAACCACTCGATATTACTTATTGATCCAGCGCTATCAGTCTTATCAGTTTTCCAAAAGGACTCTAGCATGGGATTCCAGACCGATCATTTCTCTTTAAAATCAGAACAGCATACTGATAACACTCGTGAACCGGTACCATAGTCCCTTGCTATGGCATCTAGTGCAAAGAGCCATAGGTGTAATTTAAATTTTCGTTGAAATTGATTTTTATATTTCTATACTCTCTCACTTCTTATAATAGGCAGTTAATTAGTCAAAATTTCAACGACTCCTCTGAGTAAACCTCCAAAAGATAGTCTATTATATATTATAAACGTAATTTTTTTTCGTACGTGCATATCATCACGCCTGTCCCAAACCAGGGTAGGCAGAGACCATGGACCTCCACCGGCTACGCTCATGACAAACATTCTTCGCCTCCTCCACTCCCATCAGTCTCAAAATTTTAACACGCCAATGAAACAATCTATTTCAAAGTAACTCAAATGTTTTTTCTAGGTAAAACATAAATACTTAT